TGCCCCCCTCCCCCCCCCCCCCTTCCTCAAAAAGAAAAGGATTCCGCTAAGGGGGATACTCGCACAAGGTATATTCAGTCATCAGTGGGTTTCAAAATCTAAGTGTCGGGCAGTCAAAACAGCCCATACCACCAGAATATATAGGTATAGATCGATATCGATTTATCGTAGTTGGAGGGGGCGAAAAACATTGGGCACAAGGGGGATATAATTTTAGATTTAAATAACGCATGTGTCAATTACCGGTTTAATGTTTCAGGTGCAAAAAAAAACGGACCGCCGCCTTTTTTCCCATAAAAAAAAAAAAATCCCTTTAGCAGACACGAGAGTCAAACCCGGCCCAACGCGCACTCATCACGCCTGGTATTCCATTCTTTGGTGCGTTTTTTGCTCCGACGGCGTTACGCCGACGGTCGCACCGCATTGCAAATGTCTAGGATTGTCTCGAAGCAGTGCCCCGTATTACTGCTCGTCTCGGGGCTGGGAAAGTCAAGGTAGCGTACGCACGAACCCCGGACCACCACCTGACTCACACACCGAAACGCGATCGGGGAATCCTCGATGCTGCTTGGGATTTCCCCTGTGGCCTCATTCTTTGTTTTTTTGCGATTCGGCTCGTCTTTTCGACTCGCGTCGATCGTGTGGTTGGGGTCAAACCGGCGCTGCACACTGGTCTGGACCACCGAGTCGAGTTTGATGTTCATCGTGAAGGGGTCCATTTCGCAGATGTGCCCCGAGATAACGCCACCGTTGGTCAGCTCTAGCCTTGCGAACGGACGTAGCATCGCCGTGGTGCGGGCCAGCTCACTCGGTATGGTCTTCGCGAAGGACGGCTCCGCGGGCTTCAGGACGTCCGTAGCGACCGCTAATGGTCCTGCGTCCGTCGCGAACATCCTACTTGTTTGAAACAACTAGCCTTCTATTTGAAATAAACGCACACTTTCGATTTCGGGTTCATCGAATGGCGGGGACCGAAATCGGAGACCACCAAAGAGGGAATGGATAATAATAATAAAAAAAGAAGAAGAAGAAGCTTCATTTACACACACAAAAAAGAAGTTTCATCATACGCTGGCTATTCTGTGTAGTGTTGATTGCATTCATTTTTTTTATTTCCCGCTTCATCTAATTGCTACACTTGTCCATTTCTTTCAAAACAAAAAAGGGTGCTGTCTTTTTGTGTAAGCCTTTGTACCATTGTCCTCCCGACACACCGTAATGGTAGTTTAATCAAGCAGGTTCTTTCACACAAAGCAACCGAGCGATTTGTCCAAGCAAGGGCAAACCTCTCTCTCTCTCTTTTTCACAAAGATGGGTAGGAAGTTCTAAATTTACATAGTTCCTTGCCCATGTGCAACGATCAATACTGAATGTTGTTTCATTTTACATATTCCTCTTCGACACGAATAGGACAGCTCGGACTTTTTCGTTCCCTTTTGAAGGTGATGGCCACCTAATGTCTATTTGCGCTACCCCCTGCGTTTGGGTCAGGCCAAGAAGCAATGCGTCAGGAAGTCTTCGAGCTTCTTTTCCAAAGGGGTGAGTGGGCTGGGGTAGAGGATGGAGTAATACGCGAGGGCGCACAACAGATCCAGAAATTCGCTAAAAAACAAGAGCTTGCCCTCCCGCGCCGTGTCCGCGAGGACCCAGTAGAAGGACTTGGCGAGGACCTTATCGATGCTGTAGGGCGAATCGGGGGATCGGTAGAGCCGGAGGCAGCGCTCCCACCCGAGCTCCTTGGCCATGCTCGCGACGTCGGCGAGGCGGAGGGCGAGGATGATGCCGATGTT